AGGGAGGGATGGGGTGGGACACGCACCCCATGGCATCTTGGAGAAGAGCCTGGCAGTGCCACGGTGCATTCCACCTGCAGGGGTCCTCTCATCTACCCCCAGCCGTGTAGCCAGTGTGTGCTGGAGGGTGAAATCTCCTTGGGGGCACTGTGGGTTGAGGGGACAGGCAGTGTGTACCCTGCTCTTGAGCCCCACAATTCTGTAGCCAGACCAAACACACTCCAGCGACTCCCTGCTATACAGTCTAAGCAGGTCTTGAGTAGCTGTCATAAATCAAACCAATCCTGACTTCCTACCAGTTCAATTATGGCAAATTAGATTCTGTTCCTCGGAACCCATTTAAACCATAAAAACACCAAAACTAATTATGAAAGTGAAATGCGAGTCCTATGAGGTCACCTCATAAGTACATTTAATATATTTGAGATTTGTAATATATTAATATAATCATGATATTACTATATGTATAGGTATAAAATGAGTTCCACATCCTAAGCCCTTACAAGCCCTTGCTTATTATGGAAAATCAAGCGCAATGTACAATTGACATCATACGTGTGCCTTGTGGGAGATTTTCCTGCAGAGACTGGACTGACTGAAGCTGTGTTCTCTAAACTTGGGCAGACATTTTAGGTGTTGAAAAGTGTCATTTTGATGACGATTTCTTTCAACACTCTTCTAGCTTTGGAAAGGAAGAGTTACAAATAACAAGGCATAAGATTCCCCTCAAAGGTATATTTTTAGCAAAATAACACCTTGTAAATTTTCCTCTTGTGCTCAACAGCTAGGCGGCTGCACAGAAGGTCTGTCCAAGCCGACACACGCTAACTGGTAATCTGCCATGATAGGAGACCAACCCCGGGCTGTGGGCAACAGGGTGGGTGTAGAAATAAATAAGAAGGCCCTTGCCTCTAAGAAAGAAGCATATCACATAAATTTGTGGCTGCAGAGGGAGCTGGCGGGAGCTGGCCTAGATCTTATGGGTGGTTGGCAGGTCCTTCTTAGCGGCTTATTCCAACCTGAACACCATATTGTCAGCAGAAGGCTGCTGGCCCAGGCTGACCGTGGACAGGGCTTGATCACTTACAGGCCATTGGGAGTTGCTGTCCACAGCCTGACACATTGGAGCCTTGCTTCCTGTTCTCTCTCCAACATCCACATTGCTTTTGGAAAAGCGCCATTTCTTGGGTCAACATGAAGATTACCCTGTGGAAGACCCTGGAAATATTAGCTATAAGTAACCAATATTATCGAGGGCTTGCTACATGTGAGGCACCATGCCGCAGTCCAAGAATATAGTCCTTCCTTTCAAGGTTTCATGGTAAACAAGAGAAGGTGTATATGTAAGCAAATGACAAAATAAAATATGCATTGAAATCAGGTATGGGAAAGTGACAGTCAAAAGACCTAACCTTAAATCTCAGCCTTGACTAGCTGGCTCAGTGGCTCTAGTTAAGCCCCATAACTTCCCTGGGCTTTGGTTTCTTTATTTGTAAATAGATTTATGGCTGAGGGGAGAGAGGTTGTCTATTTGGTTTCCTGTTTTAAAATTGCCTGTCTCAGGCGCCTGGGTGGCTCAGTTGGTTGAGCGACTGCCTTTCAGCTCAGGTCATGATCCTGGAGTTCTGGGATCAAGTCCCGCATCGGGCTCCCCACTCAGCAGGGAGTCTGCTTCTCCCCCTGAACCTCCCCCCTCTCATGCTCTCTCTTTCTCTATCTCATTCTCTCTCTCAAATAAATAAATAAATAAAATCTTTAAAAAAAATAAAATAAAATTGCCTGTCTCTTTGAACCTCCTAGAAATAATCTGGGTCCATAAGCAAGATTCTCTTTGACCTGTGTATGGGTTTTCAAGGGCTGCCGTGACAAAGTACCACAAAATGAGTGGCCTACACAACAGAAATGTATTGTCTCACAGTTCTAGAAGCTAGTAGTCTGAGATCAAGGTGTTGGCAGGTTGGTTCCTTCTGAGGGCTGTGATAGAGTCTGCTCCATGCTTCTTCTCTTGTTTCTGGTGATTTGCTGGCAATCTTTGACCTTACTTGGCTTATACAGCTCTGTCTTCAAGTTCATATGGTGTTTTCCTGGGTGCCTCTATGTGCAAATTTCTATTTTTTATAAGGTTACTAGTGTTATTGGAGTAGGTCATATACTTCAGTATAACCTCATCATAACTGTATAACCTCATCTTAACTAGTTGTATTTGCAATAAGCTTATTTTCAAATAAAGTCACATTCTGAGGGCTAGGACTTCAACCTATAAATTTTTAGGGGAGACAATTCAAACCATAATAATAACCTGTTTTACCCTTTTTTACCTTAGAATCCTTGGTCCACCCTTATTCAAAACAATAAATCTTTTCATTTCAGTTGCCAGCTCTAATCAATTGGAGTGATTAGCTGTAGTGTTGCACAGAAAAGGGTTGTGAACTAACATCCAAGATTAATGGGAAAGGTGATTGGAATTGGTTCAGATTTTTTTTTAAAGGGTACAGGATATAAGAAATAGGGGCTTGTCATTTGTCTGCTCACCCAAGGAGCAGAAGACTTTAAAATCCTACTGCTCATTCCTAAAGGAGGGACGTCACCAAAGAGTGAGGAACCTTCAAAAACCTGCTTTTTTCAGATCTCTCTAATTGAGATGATCCCCAAAAGGTGGTTGCCAGCTTGCAATCTTGACACATCCAATAATTCTTATAGGGCATTTTAGTCTGGCCTATGAGAATAATCAAATCTGCAGTAGGACTCAGCTAGTTGAAGATGGGAGCAAAGGGAATTAAACTTTCAGAAAGGCTTCATCAATCAGTCTGGGCTTTCTGAATGTTTTCCCTGTTGAGATTGAGAACTTGCTTTGGCTAAAGAGTTGCCACTGGAACCAGATAGGAAATGAGCTTCTGGAAGCACCAAAAATGAATCCTCACTCCCACTCTTGACACCGACTACATCCAAATCACCAGATGATGACAGCTGCTGTAGAAATCTAAGCAAGTGGAAGGATGCCCACCTTGGTACAAGAGCCAAGAGATGGGGAGCAACAGGAAGCTGGTTATCTGTGTCATTGTGGATATAAAGAAAGTATTTTCAGGACACAGAGGGGAAGTGGCTGGGGACCCTAAAGCCAACTTTGACTCTCCAGGGAAGTTCTTCATTTTTACTTCATCTTCTGAGGTCCTTGAGGAAAACCTAGCAGACCAATCAAGGCCAAAGCCTGCTCAGCACCAGAGAGTGTTTTAATTGAGGCCTTTGTTTCTAAGATACTCATCTAAAGTATGACTATCACTGATTTGAAACTTTTCCCATCATGCTAGGGAATCAGGATCACATCCAGGCACTATTTCACATGTTTCCCACTGGTGAAGGCTACATCCTCTTCAATGGTGTGGTAGGATTGACTGCATTCATGGCCCATTTTCATGCCTCCCTGCATTTCCCCCTTTAGTAGTGTCCTCTCCACACTGATTCTTGGTGTGGTCATGTAATCAACTTTGACCCCAACAGAGTCTTGAAAAACACAGCCAAGTCATCCAGCCAAGGCCATCCTAGACCAGCTACCCACAGTCACCTAACAAACTAACCACAGGCACGTGAGTGAGCCCAGACCACACCAGCCAAGACCAACCCAGACCAGTAGAACCACCCAGCTGAACTGTAGACTTGTGAGAAGTAAGAAATGGTTGTTATTTGAAACCACTCAATTTGGGGGTGATTTGTTACATAGCAATAACTAACTGCTACATATTATCTCCCACATGTGGGCTAAAGAGGGTCAGAAAAAGATTAGGTGTAAGCTGCTGGAATTCAATTGTGACTAGGAAACTCTGATGAACTGACAGGGCAGGTCTGTTACAAGGTTATTTGCATGAGGTGCCTCCCAGGAGAGAACTCATCCCAAGGGAAGAACAAGTCAAGCAGAGAAGCTTGGCCCAGGAACACAGACTTAGTCATCAGAGGCTGAGAAAATCCACCCTAGTGTCTATTATTCTAATGGGTCTTCTGGCTAAGCTCAACGGAGTCTTGTCTGACTTATATGTTGGAGGGTATAGGTAAGGTATAGGCAAAGGATTATTTCACAAACACATGTCTAGGACACAAATACAAGCTCTCCAGCTTTGGGCTCAGTGTAGAAAATTGTAGAGCTAAAGCAGCAAGAGAGGGTCTACATGAACAAAGCACAAGTTTGGTACCCAGAAGACTCCAGCACCTTTGTCAAAGATAGGGGACCCAGAAGAAGACTAAGTCACATCTGTCTAAATTGCTATCCTAATTCACTATTTCATTCATTTATGCATTCAACAAGCACTGAGGGCTATTCAGACTATACCAATTAGGTTACATTGAGGGGAGACAAATGCATTCATAAAGTAGGGTCCCTCCCCATAAGGAGCACACAGACCGGTTTACATTTAAAACTAGGCCTGACCTCGTGCACTCTAATTGATTTGTAATGGCTGTTGAGAGCATTCTCTTGAGCATTTGAGAGGTCACATCCTGATTCCAAGGAGTGCTGTGATTGACTAGTAATGTCTGCTTTGGCCACATACTTGTCATTCCGGTGGCTGAGTTTTATGTCTTGGCTCCATAGTAGCAGTTAGCTGTAGACTCATGAATTAGGCCTCTCACATGTATTATATGTAAAATCCGTCTGTCACTGCCTGTTCTTGCCTTAGCTGGGTGACAGGGGCTGAACAGATACTGAGGAAGGTGGTTCTGAGTCAGCATTCTTCTTTTATAACAAATGGACATGATATTTTCTCTCTTATCTATTTCTGCTCCTCCCCTGCAAGTCAGAGATGTAATCCACAAAATGGGAATGAGGTGGAGTGGAGTATGAAGTGGGCATCTATGCACGGTCACAAAAATTACTCTACTTTCCTCCAGCAGAGTGATAAAGAGTTTGAGGATGTCAGAGACTGTGACCTAGCCTTGAAAATAAGCACTGAAATATTACCAGCCCATACTGACTTGGCGTCACATGGGCAACAAAATAAAGAAAATCCTACCAGTCAAGTTTCTTGTATTTACTCAGTATGAACGTGGTTAATCTCTTGACAGACTTGGCAAGCTGCAGGAACAGGAGAGTGCCAGGCAGAGCTCCCCGTGGGCATTTAATGAACACCGTGGATGAGTCCCAGTAGCTCAACTGAGGAGCTCAGCCTGGATTTGGACGTACAATCCTTGGACAACTGTAGGGGAGACAAAAGGTGTTTAAAGTCACTGTACTAAATTCATTGTTGCTACAAGTCTGTTTGTTTTGTGAACCATCTAGAACTCAAAAGGCCAAGTACTTAATAAGTATGTAACCGAATATGGCTTTCATAGTCAGCAAGACCTGCTCTCAAATCTCTGTTCTGCCTTTCTCTAATGGTGTGACTTTGGGGAAGTGCCTTAACCCATTTTTGTCTGAAAAACAGGGATAATAATAGTACCTATCTCAGGGTTTTTGTTCAGATAGAATGAGTATGGGAAGGGCTCAACAGAATGGCTGGCATATACTAGGTACTCAATAAATGATAGCCATAATTATTAGCGATGACGTTCTGGACTCTTTGGGGTATCTTCCACACACCCCCTTTATGCCTTCTCCTTTCCACTCACAAGTGGGATCGGGCTCCAAATCCATGTGGCCAGAAGCTCTGGGCAGAGGCCCTCTGTGGGCCCCATCTCCTTCTTCTCAGCTTCGCCTCAAGCCATCCTGCCAACACAGGGCCATAGGGCAGTGCCCATGTTTCCAGGATATGCTGTCTCTCAGTGGCCTGGTTCCCATTTCCAGGCCTCTTTTGGCCATGTGTCACACCACACCAGCGAGGCCCAGGCCATTGTGACACTGAATAATGAGAGGGACAGCAGGGGAGGAAGAAACAGAGCTCCTACTCCAGTCTAGGCCAACAGCACCCCGGAAGCCACAGGGACTGTTGCCACTTGCCGAGGACAGTGCCTGCTGCCCAGAGCGGGCCTCCAGCACTGGAAGCCACAGGGCCCAAGCAGAGCCACACCCACCAGGCTGCATTGCTGGGCCACCATGATCGGATCAACTGGCACGGACAGGGTGTTGGGGGACACATTTTAGAGAGAAGGTCATGGGAGAGGGAGGTAGGAAAGATGCCTTCTGGTTCTTACTCTCTGGGCTTCAGTTTCCTTTACTGTTGAGGAAAACAAGACAAAGAAACAGAGTATCTGGCCCATTGTGTGGCTGAGCGGGAAAAGCATAGGATTTGATGGACAAGTCTCTCCTTCAACACTTGCCTCTACTGCCTTCTGCCTAATATTCTTGGGCAAGTCCCATCGTCTTTCTGAGTAGCCTCAACTTCCATATCTGTAACATGGGGACCATCACGAGGTTGATGGGCGGAACATATGGGATAGTGTATGTCTTGGTCTTTATAAGGCAGGCAATTATATACACAAATATTTCTTTTGCTTATTTGTCTTTCTGTGCCTCCTTTTTCCTCTGTGCTGCCTCATTCCCACTTCTCATTTATTTCCTTTTTTTCCATACTTTACCTTAGGCTAGGGATTTTCAAGACATATCCACCAAAATGCCTCTAACAGGCAAAAAGTATAAAAAGGATGTAGTCTAAAATGCTCCATGCAAGTGTGAGATTTCATTGGCATTGGCTGCTGAATCTTGGGCTCGCCTCCACGATCTGTCCATGTGTAGCAGTGACTGTTCTTGGTTGAAAACAGCAGAGTCCATTCCTGCTAGCTCCAGCAGAATAAGACATTGAGGGCAACTGTGGATTTGAAAGGTGAATCAGAAAGTCATGCTCTCCACACTCAGGAAACCTGCCCAACCCCCATGGCAGGGGCTGCCCCAGTGAATCCCCAGTGGCATCAGCCTTGAACACAAACACCACAGCTCATTCCAGATGGGGCTTCTTTCTCTGATCGCACTGGAGAAGACACTGAAGATCCAGCACTACCTATGTGGAAAACGACACCCCTGCCACCATGCTGCCTCAAGGTCCCCTTCCTTGGATGGCTTTCTGCCAAGTTGGAGTCTTGTGTGAGTGTGAGGGCCTAAGACACGGCCCATAGCCTCGCTACAAGGGAAGATGGAAGAGTGAATTCCAGCAGGACTCTCAGTAGAGGACATTGTTCCAATAGAGCAAGACTGTCAGAACCTAGGAAATGGTCATCAATGGGCCTCATTGATACATTATATACTTTAACATTATTTTTTAGCTACCAATCTGTAAGTGAAAAGAATGTTCCAGAAACATATGCCCTGTTTTCCTAAACTTCGTGTACCTGTCATTGTCCATGTAATCCCAGGGAACATGTACTCCAGTTAGAGAAGCCAGGCCCGGGGCCCTCCCAGAGGCATTGCCCAGCCTCATTAAGTGTACTTTCAGTTAAAAATGAGTCATCACACCCGGAAAGAGAGCCCAGTTTCCATCTCCTAAAAGTGGAAGCACGTTTTGAAACATTTTGAATAATGCCAGCTATGTAACTGTCATATTGGGCCAATGGAGCTGACTTCCCTTGACCATCCCAGTCCCACTATGAAGATCATCTAATATTTCAGTTGATGTTGGTTTCCATGGCTTCCTCCCATCCACCCTTTCCTGGGCAGGCCGAGACCCTCTCTAGTGAAGGCCATTCAAGCCCATGCAGCACATCTTATGTTCAGTGTTGTTTCTAGTAAAGCATGAAATCCCTCCTCTGTCACAGTCCGCCATTCCTCCCGGAAACGGAACCCATTGGGAGAAAGTCACAAAAGGGCTGGCATTCTTCTTGGATCTCTGACTTTGCGGGCTTCGGCATTCTAAAGTTGCATCATCTTCATTAGCAGAAAGCCCCAGGGCCATAGCTGAATCTCTGCGAGAAACAAAACACAGATTCAAATTTCCCTGTGGCTGAAGGTAGTAGTGTTGGCGCCATGAAGGTTAACATCTTCTGTGCAAAATACAGACTGACATTCTAAAAGCATGGTCCCGTCATTGTTTGGAACTGATTCTCTCTTGCAAACTCCCTCCAGGGAGTGGACTCTGAAACCACTGGCCAGATTTCAAATATGTACATGCAGAATGAGAGGGATTTTTCCAGTTGGTCACTAGAAATAGAGCACAGGCAAGAGCCCTAAAATTGGAAAGTACATTTCATTGCCGTTTTTCCCCTAAAAATAGATAGTTAGCTTTGCTATGCAAGAGGCAGAACTTGGGGCCCTAGCCTGGGGATAACAAGAAAGCTACCCCAGCTGTCAGGCCACCAGGGTCTGAAACTGGGAGACCTGTTTCCCTGTTTGTTGGGGAGCCCCATCTCCTGCGAGCTGACTCCAAGACCCTGAGCATGGCCCTCCTGCTGCCCAGCCCTGCTGTATTCCACACAAAAGACATGACCCTTCTGTCTCTCATAGTCCTGCCCAGACCAGTGTGCTAGGTTGCCAAAGCTTGCTGTTGGCACAGGTCTGGGGTCATTAATACTACGTGGACTGGCTCCAAGACAAACCAATGTTTTGGAAGAGGCAATAGGTAGAGACTTAAGGTGGTGCCGGTGTATTTGCTGAACAGATAAGGGTATGGGCATGTGTATTCTCAGCCGAATTTGAAATGTGATGCGTGTTTCCTGAGTGCACACCAGATGGGGTGGCAAAGAAGGGATGCAGTTGACAGCAATAAATCATGTTTCACTGGCCTCACCTGCTAATACATACTTCCGCTCTTCTCAGAGTGTCAGTGAGGTATCTCTGAGCTTTCTTAGTGTTTTATTAAAGGGTCTCATAACCAAGCCCTCGTCACTTCCATTTGGTGCCTGCTACTGTCCTCTTGTCTGCCTCTGGCCCCGTCCACTAGAGTCCCATGTCCATGACTCTTCAGCCAGCAGGCACTGGAAGAACGAACGTGCCCAAGGCCACGTCCGTGCAATCAAGACCACCACTTGACTCCACAGCACCGAGCAATCTTTGCTGCTCATAGCTTATCTCTCCCCAGAGCTCTTACATTAAAGTCCATATGGGGTTGGGCTCGCTAATACAGCCAAGTGACATCACCATCCTGGATCCAGAATCATCCTGCCCTTCCCACAACGAATGCTTTGTTATCAGGCCAGGCTTCTCTGCTGACATTCTCTCTCCTTAGGATGCCTGGCCCAGCTCTGCTGCTAACTTGCTGAGTGATCTTGGGCAAAGCGTTTAACCTCTCTGGGTTCCAGTTCACTTGTCTCTCAAATATGGGAGATGTGTTAGCTGGGTTCCTGTGGTCCCATCCATTCCTGAATTGGATGGCTTTTGGAGGCACAATGCCTTATCAACCAACACACAAGAAGGCATTACAGACCTCCATGCGCTAAACACTGTCTAGCTGCTCTGTAAGGAGTTACTATTCTCTTTCTTCTCTCTGACGAGAAACAGACCTCTCTGATCATCACTTTGCATAAAACCCTCCAATGGATTCCCATCATACTTGGAGAAACTCCAGACTCAGTGGCATCCTACCTTGGCGACATCACCTCATTCTTCTTTGTCTCTGGTTTAATACATTCCAGACACACCAGCCTTCATTCTGTCCCTGGAACATGCTACACCCTTTACCCCTGGGCTTTTGCAGGTGCTCATTGTCATATCTGGACTGCTTTTCTCCCAGACCATCCAGGGTTGGCCCTTTTTATTATTATTATTTTTTGAGGATTTTATTTATTTACTTGACAGAGAGAAAGAAGGAGAGAGAGAGAGCACAAGTAGGAGGAGGGGCAGAGGGAGAGGGAGAAGCAGGCTCCCCGCTGAGCAGGGAGCCCAATGCGGGGCTGGATCCCAGGACCCTGGGAACATGATCTGAGCTGAAGGCAGACGCTTAACCGACTGAGCTTCCCAGGCATCCCCATTATTATTATTATTATTATTATTATTATTATTATTATTACTATTCAGGCCCCCAGGTGCTTTGTTTAACATCCTTCCCACTCCTCCCAGCTGGTCCTATTCCAGGGCTTAGCAAATTATGGTCGGAGGGTCAGATCTATTCACACTCATTTATGTACATACTGCCTGCCTGCCTGTATGTGCTACAACAGCGGGGGGGTGAGTACTATGTACGAGAAGTAGCAACAGAAACCAGATGGCCTGCAAAGCTGAAACTACCATCTGACCCTTCATGGGAAGTTCGCCAGCCCCTACACAACCCCTAGCCTCATTTATTCACAGCGTATGTCAGTATCTGAATTGATGAATCAGTCAGCTTCCTTGTTTCCCGTTCTTCTCCCTGCACTAGATAGACCTAAGTGCCATGTAGGCCAATAGATTCCTCTGTCTTGATCTGGGTGCTGCCCTCATCCCTTTGATAGCTCAGCTGTTAGAGCGGAGGACTGCAGTTGACTCCCTGGGTGCTGTCCTTAATTCTTAGCACACAGCCTGACTCAGAGCCAATAAATAACGGCAGCCCAGATGGATATAGGTCTATTTCCTTTTGCTTTATTGCAGCAACAGTGAAGTTTAGCACGAGTCCTGAGATAAGTCCGACCACCTCCATGGTCACATCCATACTGCCAGTGCCGACTGCCGAGCTCCTCTCTGCTGTCACCTCTTACCCCCATTTGTCCCTTTGTTATTCTGCTGTGTCACTCAGGGCTGCCAGTATCTGCTTACCTTTCCTCCTGCATTTTTTTTTTTTTAACTCAGCTCTTGCTGTCAGTGAAGCCAGCAGCCCTCCAGGAACAGCTCATCGCTAAGAGGTCAATCCAAGGGCAGCCGACTGCATTCCACTCAGATATTTCGGGGTGGGGTTGAGGTGTGATGGGCTCACAAACTCAGATAC